AATTTGTGGTGGCGATTTTGATAAAGTAAAAATAAAACATCCCTGAATTTATCATTTGAGGGTCAACAAGGCTCCTGATCTTAATGATGCCATAAATTATGCTTGCTTTTTAGATTACCCCCCACACCCCCTTCTTCCCTCCTGCTTATTTTTCTCATTTTTATTACTCTATATTGTATAAGAAATTTTATCAGGAAAAATGTATATATAATGCATACATGGTTCTTTCATTTCTTGTAAACTTTAGACAAATTTTTTTTAGAAAAAACATGGATTTGATACATCTCTCATGAGACTATTCATTATTTTTTGTTCTTGAAAACCATATCTTAGTCCAATACTTACAGTGTGCCTTATATATGAAAGATACAGTATATGCATAATGTACAACACCCATTTAACGTAGGTACACAGTATGCCTGTTTTCATTTTCTTTTTGTTTGTTGTTCAGTTTCCAAAGAGCTGTGGACCCCCAATGTCTGTATGCCCATGTTCAAGGGTCCTTTCCAGCAGTTTTATGATCACATTGTGTGTGTCTGTTTTGGAGAGGTTCAGGCATTGTTTCCTTACCTGTTTGGACACAGGAACCAGGACAAACATAATTCATGGGTAGACATGGGTTAACCCTGGCATTCACACCGATGACCGTTTTTAAACCAGCTTGCTATATACAATACTTGGGATGCTGCGATGAATGCTTATTGCGAAATGAGTCGGCAGGATGCCCATTTATTGCATGTGGATCTGTTTATTTTGTCCCTTACTTTACCATGTTCTGGATGGTTTTTTCTCCATTAATAGCACTATCAGTTTGGACCTTGTGAGCACTTAAATGCAAGTGTGACTGATTCTGGGATATTGACTAATATCAACTTGATAGAGCCTTCTCTGTGCTTTTTATGTCTGGATATGGGACTTATTTATGATAAGTAGAGCAAACGTACAACGTACATTTCTACTTTTCACACAAATCCTGATGTTGGAGTTGTTTAGGTGACACTTGAGGATTACACTGAATATTGAATGTGACCATTACAATATATTATATTTCATATAATTTATGCAGGCTGTATTATCCTACTTGTGACTATTATTATTGTCCACAGTTTGCTGTTGAGCCATCTATTGGTCGTTGAAAATAATTCAGTCTTAAGCTAACCTGAACTATGACAACTGGGTGCACGGAGTGTATCAGTTGGCAGGCTATTTTGTTCCCTTTGTGATAGTAAAAACCATTGTAAATACCCACGATTTCTCTTTTCCTGTGATTTCTCTTTTATGTGAACATAAAATATCCAAGAGCAATCAGACATAACTGGGCCTTGCCAAAGGAGTGATGATTGATTGTTCCAACATAAAGCAGCATGGGAGCCTTTTTTTACTTGATTTTACAATAAACATTTAGCAGCTGAGGCTAGAAAAATGCTTGATAAAGTCTCACTTTTGATTGACATACACATCCAGAAAGTGTGATATAGACTAACTTGAACTACGACAACTGAGTGCATGGAGATTATCAGTTGGAAAGCGATTTTAGCCCTTTTGTGATAGTCGAACCTATTCAGATGTGATGCCTGCTCACAGGATTACAACTGTTTGAAATAAACAAATAGCTAACTACATACCTCTAAGACGGAATCCTGCTATATTCCAGGATTGACTAACCAATAGTTCTAATTATTGTTCTTCATTGGGCATCTGAGTCATCTGCCTATATGTAACAGAAGAAAATTAAGTTTCGATATATTGGAAATCTTTTCCTTGCAAGGAACATTAATTGGTTTGCCACAATGGGTCTGCATATATGCAAACTTAACAAACAAGGTTCTTTTTAATGTTGTTTATTGAATGTTGGTGATAGTATTTTGAAATTGGGCTTTATATTTTTTAGATCCATTTGCTTTTAAGAATCTATAAAGATCTATAGAGATGTACTGTAATTCTTCTTAGGTTGAAATTAACATATCAATGCATCACTAGTCATCCGGTAAAATATTGAAAGAGTTCCATACATTGTTCTCTCACTTATATACCAGAACTGTTCCTTTCTCTGAAACTGCTGCGGATGACCTCCCAGTGTTACCTATGGAAGCCAAAGACTGGCTAGAATGTCCAATGGATTTGGACAAAGTACTCAAGGTGATCAAAGTACTTAAAAAGAACAAATGATCCGGGCCCAAAGAATTCACAGCAGGACATTACAAAATATTTACTGACTACCATGCTCCATTGAATATTAGTCTTTAATAACATTTTAAAAGAAGGGCAGTTTAGAGAGGAGACTTTGTCAGCTTCCGTCATAATGATCTCTAAACCACAAACTGATACTACTTCCTGGGGTAATTATGGGCCTATTTCCCTTCTCAATTTAGATGTTAAAATCCTGGCTAAAATTTTGGCTCTGTGGTATAATACAGTTATGGGACTTCTCGTAGAAAAAAGATCAAGTAGGTTTTATTCCACGTATCAAGCGGGGGACAATATATGAAAGATTCTGCACATTACACATCCCCGTAAGAACCAAGAGTATCCCAGCCTTCCTTTCCATCCTTATGCTCAAATGGGGATTTAGCCTGCATGTTTGTTCCTGGAAAACTTCCTTATAAACCTCCCTACAAGCTTATGTCAAATGCTTGGGATTTAGGTCCCCTATCTTTACAATATATTATGGCACAAGGAATGGAAGCTCACTTTCACCAGTGCTATTGGCTCTTATTAAACCTCTTGCTCAGCTAATCAGAAACAACCCAAATATGAGAGGTATTCCTGTTGTAGGAACTGTTCATAAACTGAGTCTATTTGCGGATGACATGGTTCTCCATCTCACCAACAACCTCACCATCTTGTCAAGTGTACTTGCAATTCTTTCTAAATTTGCCCACATTTCAAGTCTTCACGTGAACTCCATGAAATCCCAAGGTTCATTATCTTAACATCTCCCTTCCACACCCCTTAGTAGACCACCTTCAGTATCACAATGTTACAACTTTCTATGGCTTTGAGACTCCCTATCTAGGAATATTGTTCACAACATCTTATGAAGCACTCTATTCTGTTAACTATCCTCCACTGCTGTGCAAGCTTAAATCTTTGCTCTTAATCTGGGACAGGTTTCCTATTTCATAGCTGGGCTAGGTGGTGGCTGTAAAAATTACGTATCTTCCAAAATTGTACTGTACTATTTTAGGGTGCTACCTGTAGCCGTTCCAGCTCATGTTTTGAGATCAGTGCAGCATCAAATTTAACATTTTATCTGGTGTAACCAAGAAACCCATAAAGCTAGACTTCACCGATCAATACTGATGCGTAGCAAGAATATGGAGAGCCTTTGCCTCCTGAACATAGCAAGATACTACCAGGCTACCCAACTAGCCCAGATTCCAAATTGTTTGCTGTGACCGAATCTCTTTTTTGGGTGGTTCTAGAGGAGCCTGTATGCGACTCAGTTTGGATAGATAACCTAATGTGGAAAAAACTCTGATAGACCTGATAAACATTTATCAAATCCCATAAGGAAGCATACCCTGGAGGCCTGGGATACACAAAATATTTAGGAGGCCTAATGTCACTCAATAAACCCCTCATGTTAGGTCTGCTTTTCCCTTAGTCTACCTTTCCCCTTCTGCTTTTTCACTTTGGGTTAGGTGCGCAGTGACTTGTAATCACAAGTTGCTACAGGATAAAAGAATACAAATGATTTCTGTGCTATAACAGATACATCAGTTACCATCAACATAGTTGTTCACTCTAGGATGGTTCCCTACGTTTCCACCCTTTGAGCAGCATGACCAGATGATCCATACATGCCTGTCCTGATCTAACATATATAGGTATCCTATTAGCTTGCCCCACCTTTTCTCAGCACCCAATATATACCCAAAAATGGCACGAAGATTTAGGCGAGCCTGTAGAGGAAGAGGAATGGAGCCAAATCTGGGAAGCAGTGAAACCTAGTTCCTGTAATATATTGGCCATTGATGCTAAGTACAAGTTCATGATGAGATGGTATATGGTCCTGGTTCGGGCTGCACATGATATGCCTGGGTATCCTTCCTAGTGCTTCCACTTATGTGGACAATTAGGTACTTTTTACCATATTTGGTGGTCTTTTCCAGTGGCTCAACTATTCTGCACTAACATCTTCTCACACCTTACTAAGCTTTTGAAACAACTGATACAGCAGAACCCAAAGTAGTGCTTCTCTCTGTTAAACCCTTAGGTCTATAAATAGCTAAGTTTAAATTGTTAGTACATGTTCTCACCACAGCTAAACAACGTTAGCTAAGGCTTGGAAATTTCCAACCATCTCTGAAGTGGAGGTACAATCTGGAATTATGCAACTAAGGCTATGGGAAAATATTGAGTGAAGACTGGATGACATATAAGCAAAGTATATGGCAATCAATCTGGTTACCCTGGTAAACTGTCTTTCTAGTGGAACTGATACTGACCTCCAAGGTCTCTAAACAGGCTATTGATCATGGCCGAGGTTGGTCATTCCCCTTTCACTTCTCATTCCCCCTTTTCTTCCCCTCCCCACGCTTCTCATTCCCATACCCCATTTTTCCTTATTTATGGAACACCTTCATTATATACATGTTTCTGTGTTGAGGTTGTGTACTGGTCTACAATGTTGTTGTTTTTAGAATGACAAGATCGGGGTTGATGTACTAAAGTTATACTGTGCACCTCAATTGCACTGAAAGTGCAGTTGCTGTAGATTTGAGGGGAATGTTTGAAATGAAGCGAAGCTCTGCTGATTTCTTTCATGCAATCATTTTGCAGTGCACAGTCTATTTGCCTTTAGTAAATCGGCCCCACTATGTCTACTGTTTTCTATAACATACTATGTAAACTTTGAATGTGTATGCAAAATTGCTTTACTTTATAATAAAAAACAATTGAACTATAAAAGATTCTTCCATATTTACTAAACCGAGGAGCCTGCATTCACTATAGCTTGTCTCCCACAGTACACAGAACATGGAAATGCAATTATTTTAGTAAATATAAACTGTTAAATACTTTTTCTCATCAGCAGTTAGAGCAGTCCTGTGAATTCTATCAGTGTCCAGTAGAGCACATGTTAAAAATTGTAGGAGGAGTTTTCATTCTGCTCTGGGAGGATGCAGTACCCCTGACCTCTGTCTGGACAGTGCTGATTGGCCCTGTGCTGATCACATGCACTCTTCCAAGAAAAAAAATCCTCTGTAGCAATGCACATCAACCTGAGCATGTGCAGAGTGTATCCACACGATATGTCTTATCAGACGATAAGAGGGGAACACTGGAAGAAGGGGAGAATCAGAGAAGTCAGGATCAAACAGTGTTTTTACACAATGCAGAGAATAAACCCATTAGGTTGCACAGTGAGTATAACAAGCATGCTTTACTGCCTATACAGACTGATTTTATTGTTGTGGGTTAGTAACAGTAACAATAAAAATTGACAGAAGATTTTACCCTTCTCCACTCTATCTAAAACTAGGTATTGCCTAGAGCGGGTGTCGGCAACCCGCGGCTCCAGAGCCACATGCGGCTCTTTTTCACCTTGGCTGCGGCTCCGGAGCACACTGCCCACCAGGTGACAGGCAATAGGGCAGCAATGGGCAAACTACGGCCCGGCAGACCTTTTAATCCGGCCCGCGGAGCTAGGCTCCCACTAGGCTCCTCTCACAGTCCGCCCTGAGACCGGTGTAGCATGAAAATCTGTCTCCTATGAGGATCTGTCCCCCTCGACGTATCTGCGCATGTGCCGGAGATCGCCGATCGGCTGCTAATGCCTGAAACTGGCACATGCGCAGATACGTCGAGGGGGACAGATCCTCATAGGAGACAGATTTTCATGCTACACCGGAACGGCGCGGGAACACACGGCGAGAGGAACGCGCGGAGCAAAGGTAAGTGAATTGACACAGGGGGGACTTGGGGACTTAATATGGGGGATGAATTAATATGGGGAATGAATTACTATAGGGGGGATGAATTACTATAGGGGGGATGAATTACTATGAGGGATGAATTACTATATGGGGGATGAATTACTATGGGGGATTAATTACTATATGGGGGATTAATTACTATGGGGGATGAATTACTATGGGGGATGAATTACTATGGGGGATGAATTACTATATGAGGGATGAATTACTATATGGGGGATGAATTACTATGGGGGATGAATTACTATGGGGGATGAATTAATATGGGGGATGAATTACTATAGGGGGGATGAATTACTATATGGGGGATGAATTACTATGGGGGATGAATTACTATGGGGGATGAATTACTATATGGGGGATGAATTACTATGGGGGATTAATTACTATATGGGGGATGAATTACTATGGGGGATGAATTACTATGGGGGATGAATTACTATGGGGGATGAATTACTATATGGGGGATGAAGTACTATATGGGGGATGAATTACTATGGGGGATGAATTACTATGGGGGACGAATTACTATATGGGGGATGTATTTTCAGTTTTAAAAATGTGGCTCTCAAAATAAATTTCAATCGTGGTTTTGGCGAGATTTGGCTCAGTTGAAAAAAAAAGGTTGCCCACCACTGACCTAAGGCTATGATTGTGATTATGACGATACACTGTGGCCCTGATTAACCCTTTGCTTACTGGGCCCTTAAACCCCCTTCATGACCAGAGCGCTTTTTGCAATATATTGCAGTGTCGGATTTGTTTTAAATGTTGCAATGGTTTTGCGGCTCCCAGTCTTTTTTTCCCTCTCGGAAACGGGTCCAAGTGGCTCTTTATGTCTTAAAGGTTGCAGACCCCTGGCCTAGAGATATACTTTAAAATTATCTTCTTCTTCAAGGCTTACCTTTAAAAAAGCAGGGCTTGGTCTTAGGGGGGTGTTTTTTTTTGGGGGGGGGGCATTTATTTGAGGGGGTTTATTGCTTTTTATTTTATGTTGATAGGACCTTAGGTTTAGAGTACTCAAAGCACATCACTCTGAGTTATCCTTTGTTCACAGCACATCACTGCATTCTTTGAAAGAAAAAAGAAGCAAGAACAGTGTGCACCTAAACCACCTCAGACTATATATCACTTTCATTCATCACACCCCCCCCTTCCTCTTTCCAAAATTAGGCATACACCAGTTAGGCCTATTTTCACTTATAAAATCGATCCTGCTGCTGGCCAGTTTTACACTGCTTTATCTTCTGTGGTATCTTCGGTAACTCACAAGATGGTGGAACACTCACTTCCAGTTTGCATCATGACGTGACTTGATGAAGTCACGTGATGGAGCGACGCAATGCCTAGGGAGGAGCAAATGATGTCATGCCGCAAACCGGAAGTGAGTGCTCCGCCATCTTGTGAGTTATCAACTGCAAAAGTATGTTAAGGGGAACACAGCCTTTTAACCTGAAGTGCACCAGAATAGTGCACATTTTATTGTGTGTGGTATTTTAATACACTGCTCAAAAAATTTAGAGGAACACTTTTTAATCAGAGTATAGCATCAAGTCAATTAAACTCCTGGGATATTGATCTGGTCAGTTAAGTTGCAGAGGCGGTTGTAAATCAGTTTCAGCTGCTTTGGTGTTAATGAAATTAACAATAGGTGCACTAGATGGGCAACAAAACAAAGGTAGAAATGTGGCAAGCCATACACCATAAGAAAACACCTCGCTTTTGACCACTCCCACTTTGGTGCACCCACTGTGACTACACCCACAAGTGCTTAGTGTACCACAGTAGCCCTGCTGTTTATGTCCTCAGTACCTGCACTGCAGCCCCTAAAAAAATGTGTCTGGAGTCACTCTAGCAGAGCTTCACTTCATTTTTCTAAACTCTGGCACAAATTCCCTTGCAAAGTACATCTTCCCTTGCAAAGTGGATAATCTATTTGCTTTTAGAGAATCCACCCCTGTCCAGAGATATTAATATGTAATGAGCCGAATTCAAGCAGGGGAGAAAAGTATTTTCTGCGGTACATCTACATTATTTATTCACAGAGATTATTGTTCTTCCCAACCGTCATTGTTTATTAGTGTTTGGCATACATATACTTACCAAAGGATTCCTTTCAAGTTCAGCTTGGCTCCTACTTGAATATTCACTTCTGGGTATCGTTTCTGCTGTATTTATATACCACTAAGTTAGGGCAGCTACCAACAGATAAAGCTGATAGACAATTCACTATCAATATTTGATCTGAAAAGGCATAGACACAAGAGAACATCTAAATCTATTTTGATGTCAAGAAATGGTTTTCATTTTAAAAAAAATTGTCTTTTTTGGCAATGTAAAGCTAGATTCCTAACCTGACATGTTTTGAGCTTTAGAGCTTGAGTAGGATAAAAAATCTTGCAAGACGGTGATAAACCAATAAGTTTCAATGACCCATAAACCAGGCAACAGGTCATAGCACCAGGCTGTCCATGAACCTGTCATAATATAAAAGACAAGGGAAAGGCAATCTAATTTCCCATAATTAAAAGAGAAAGCCAGATGGCTGATCCCAAAGCACTTCACCTCCACTCTACAGGGGGCAATGAATGGTCAAAAGTTAAAGTGAAACTTTTATGTAAAATTGTAAAATGGTGGTTTGTACTTGCCATTATAATGCCAGTGGCTAATAAAGTACACTGTGCATATTCAATAGTATAAACATTTGTTAGCAAAATATCATTAATGGCTTTAAAAAGTGTACAAACTCTACTGAGTTTCAAAAAATGTTGAACATCTAGGACCTGTACCTTCACAACTCACTTTGATAGCATGCTGGAAATCCTGACTAACGGTAATTACATCATTACTACGAATGAAAAGACATGTCATTCAAGCTTAATGCATTTTAAATTATATATTATATTATATAGTGGACCTATGCTTGGTATATTCAAAGGTAAAGTCTGTGAATAGAGAAGGTTTTTTTCTAGAACATTGATTGAAGAGAGGATGAATTCAATACAATTCATGGAGAGAACAGAATAGTAACAAAATATTGCAAAGTCTTCACAAGGCAGATGAATTTTTGCAATGAAAATAGCACCATAGGTGGGACACTGCAATCTTTTTCCAGTCTCCATCAACATTCTTCTTCCACTTATCTTTCATGGTTTGGACCAGGGGCAGGCTGACCATTTGGAAACTCGGGCACTGCTCGAGGGCCCGGGGTCAGGAGGGGGCCCCATGAGATGCCCCTGGTACCTTTTTTATATAGGCTTTTTTGAGTTTGGGCAAGGACACAGGGGCCCCATGATCCCCTATTGCCCCGGGGCCCCATGAGTTGTCAGTCCGCCCCTGGTTTGGACAATGCTTTCTGCTTACCAACTTGAAAATGATGGAAATTATAGTTTTGTTATTAGAGATGTTGGGTTTCTGGGAAACCTTCCTGACGTGGACATGGACTGTAATAAAAACATGACAGACATTATTACTATTCCCACTCTGTCTACAATTATATTTAAAAATTTTGGCTAGAACTACAATTTGAAATTATAAGACATGGCCTGCATATTACAATATCAAACTCTTTATCTGTATCCAGCAGCCTAGGGTTGATGGGGGGGGGGGGGAGGGGCTTCGCACTTCTCTAATAGTAATATGGACTACTACTGATTATTTTGAGATGGATTGAACAAAAAGGTACAGGGATATCATTCTTTCAGGTTGTCTGCATCAACATCCTAGCACATATTGGGGTTGATTTAGTAAAAGCAAATTGTTTACATTGCAAGTGCAGTTGCACTCTGCAAAGAAATTATCCCCAGAGTTTATTGAATTAGGTGTGGCTCTGCAGACTTCCATCATCCAATCATGTGCAATAAAAAATGCTGTGTTTTTTTTCTCTTTTCCTTGCCTGTTATTGGGTATTTTTTGTATAGTAAAGCTTCACCGCATTCACTTAGCTCTTGGGAAAATAATTTTGCAAAATGCAACTTCACTTGCAAAGTGCACAGTCTATTTGCGTTTATTATTATTATTATTATTATTATTATAATACAGGATTTATATAGCACCGGTTTGTGTAGCACTTTACAAAATCTTTAGTTAATCAACCCCACTGTGTGCCTTAGAAAAGAAGTGTGAATTCTTAATGTAGATTAGGCCACAGGTTCTTGGTCAGAATCTCTCCATGGATCATATTTTGGTTGCATTGCAGTATGTGGATTCGCATGTAACACCATTTTTTCATTATTTCACAACACATAAACTCTTAACAAGTGCATTCAAGCATTCGCTACCTGCGAGCCTTTCATGAATAGCCTTGGGTATATGTCTTTCCAGATTTTGGAAATAATATCATGGTCCCTTAGCAGACAAGCCTTGTAAGCTAAAAGTTCACG